ATATTTGTGTTTAAATAAACTTTAAATATTGATATATTTGCAAATTAATCTATAGCAAGGACAAGAGGAAAGACAAAAACCTACTTCTCCTGGAATGGTTGGTAATCAAGCTATGAAGGAAAAAAACCAAATATAACATGATGAAATTTTCTTTTATGTTTATACATAAACATACAATACAGTAATTTTGGAACGTGTTTCAATTACACTGAAGAAAACGCGATCAGCCTTACCGGTGTGACCTGGGTATCATCAAACTTATACCATCTGTCTTCATCCTGGGTTTTGATTGTTGCGCTGTAATGGCCACCTCTCACACCACCAAAATGATCCACAACTGCGTACAGTTCGTACACCTCACTCTGATCACAGAGGACAAAAAATAACAAAGTGAGAAAGAAAATGAAGATGATTTTGATCAAATATTAAAGTACACTTTGTAAATACCCCTGGTATTTGCAGGCTGTAGGGAACCTCCACAAAACAGCTGGTTTTGAAGTAGGACATGTAACTGTAGTTGAACTCAAACCTCTTCAGCAGCAGAATCAAAACATCTGGGTGATGTTTTATTACATCTGTCTGAGTGAAAAATATGGGTTTTTAATGTGTGTCATTTCGTTATAATTTCATTAAATCAATATCAATGTTCAGAAATCACAAAAAATTCTTCATTTACAATAGTAGCATCAACTTTGTGACCGCAGCGGTCACAGTACATCTGGTGTTCTCCATTTAGACATGTAGGTCTGAAAAACTCCTCGATGCCGTTCACCTGAAAAATGAAAACTAATTCAGAAGCAGCTTTGATAAAGATGTGCCGAAGAGCTCAGTGTTCACAAAGGTTTTCTCAAGGGCATTGTTAACATTAATAATTCATGACCTCTTTAAAAGACATAATATTGTCTTTTGAAGAGAGATATAAACAGTAAAAACAAACCAAAATTCCAACATCCATGAACACATATCAGTGAACTCAGGACTTGGACTGTAGAGTTGATTAGATGTGTCAGAAAAAGAAAAAAAGGTACTGGACAGATCTGAAGACAAACTGAAAGGTCTACAATTTCATTGGCAGTTTACCTCAGTGGGATTTAGATCCAGTATGTAAAATTTCACCTAATCTTGGTTCAGCTTCAACATTTTTTTGTAGTATTCAGACATGAACTCTCTAAGACCTCAGTAACACAGGCTCACATACTTGATAAGTGTTGGAAAGTGTGTATTCCCAGTTAGCGGTTGCTGGCAGTCACTGGGTGAAACTGGTCACAAAGATGCTGAACCAAAAAACTTGTTGAAATTCCTTTGGTTGCTAGTATTTTGCCATGGTTTTCAAGTTTGGATGATAGCCATTAAAACCTTCAGCCACCACTCGCTAACCCATTTTCCACAAAACAAACAAAAATCACATCAAAAACTCTATTTTGTTTTTCTACAAAACATTGGATTAGGTTTACCTTTTCCTATAATTTCTCACTAAAAGATACATTTGTTGCATTTTCTGACTTAGGATATTTACATGACTCATGAGACTATAAGTCAACTGTGTTATGTTTGTTTTGTAATGCATTGAAAGTAATAAGAAATATATTTTTAAAAAAGAAACATTTTCAGAAATAATATTAATTAATATGTTTCGACACAAGCAGGATCTAAGGCATCATCTGATTTTTATGTGTCCTCAAAGTAGATACATAGTTCCCAATCAAACAAAAGTGTTTATTAAGAAAATGATAGAATAACACATATGTTACTGGCAATATTATGTGAACTTGTTGCAGCTGTGAGTCCTGAAAACAGAAACATGCTGAGAAGTTTGTTATGCACTTACTACACTGTAGTCTTGATTGTAAAAATCCACCAATGACAGAGGAAGATGCCAAAATGGTGCATCTCTGTCAGTCTCTTTATGACCTTTAGAGCAGGTGATTTGGTTTGCTAACAGACCGTGGAAGATCTGAAAACATAAATGAACAAAAACATATTATTAAGTATTATTTTCAAACCAAACGATTCCATTTGATATTGACAAAGACCTTACCTGTGATGCCACGGGACTGGTCATTGTTAAAATCTTCTCGATGCATTCAGCAGCATCTCGCTGTTCATACACTGGGTGAAGAAATATGTGCATGTCTTTAACAAACATATTCATTAATTTAAAAAAATATATAACCCCATAATTATTCACAACAAATGCCAATCATAAACCCTCAAAATGTTGTGTAAACTGATCAAGTTTCTCAAAAACATGAAACATCAAAAACATTATTCAAAGGTTTTGTTGTCTGTGTGTTATCATACTGTACCTCTGCTGATGCCCAGCTGGGTTATTATTTTGTGTGTGTTTGCTGTATGTTTCTGTAAATTATCAAACAAGTCTGTAAGGGCACCAAGAAGCCCAATGCCAACATTTTGTTTGGAGGACCTAAACAAAGACAAAGTCCCCATAAGTAATAAAAATGAACCATAAACCCCATTAAATGTACATATGTGACAATAATAAACCTTTTCACAGCTTCTCTGAAGTCTTCGGTCATAAACAGCACCTGCAGCACACTGTTCAGGTAACATGTCGCACCTTGGTTTACCAGCCCATGGTATTTAGCTTCTGTAAATTGCAGAATAAGAACATGAGTGTGCATCATAAACTGCCAACACAAGCAGAAGGTCGTCAGAAAATAGCTCGTTCCCTTTTGCGTCTTTTCTACAATCCATTGAAGTCAATGATTTGATCTACATTTGCTAACCTTTAATACCAAGAATAATTTTTAAATAATAGAATTAATTAAATCTTGAAACTCATTTTTTTAACCCTGGCTTTTCATTCGAGTTCCGCTTAAGTACCATCAGATTTTTTTAAATGTTGTTTATGTTGTCACTATATAATGTATTTGCGTCTTCTCACGTTTCGTTTTTATTGTATTTAGTTTCTATTGTTCATTAATTAACTTGTAATGCATTTTGGTTAACTTTGCTGTTGCTTGTAAATGTGCTATAGAAAACACTGACATTTACAAATTGACATTGACATTCCTTGTCAGGTACCTAGCAGGTTAAGAAAGGCACGTCCTTACAAATGGCGCAAGGTGTATAAATTCTCATCATATGTCAGTAAACTCTTAATAATAAAGCAGCTCAATTGAAGACGCTCTGAGTAAAGGACAGTTCCTCTTTCAACAGCGTTTCCAGGCTGAATTTAAAGACGTCTGAAGAGCGTAGGAAACACTTTATATAGAGAACACACAGAAGAACAATTAACCAAAAATAAATAAATACTTCGAAATTCACTACAAATCTTACCCACAGAGGTAGAGATGTTCTTGAAACCATGTCGACCAAATAAACGCATTTTCTGCCCCTGTGACGATCTACAAAGAAATTGTTGTTGGAGGCAGAAACAAACGCGATTATTTTAAAAATAAATCAAAGTAAGCCAAAGATGTAGGCCTGCCTTCAACACAGTTTTAAGACATTTCTTCAGATATTTGTTAATAAAATAGTTCATTCACTATAGGAGCATTAGGATATCTCAATCTCCCGTGCAGTTAAAAACACTCCGACTATCGCTTTCTCTTTCGCTTCTGCCGGATCAGTGATGGGTTCAAGGCGTGTCGGAAATGTTAATTGTTATAAATGCGCATTTTCCTATTCTACAGGTGCAAACTCAGCAGCTTTCTTTCTCTTCCCAAACTGTTCTGTTCTTAGTATTTCTGTTCCCAACAATAGCTGGCATCAGCTGTTGCTCTAATCTGGAGGTTCCTGACTACAGCAGGCTACACATCACCAACCTTTAAAAAAATATTTATTGCACATCTTATATCTTAATATTTATTCAGATTCAGTTCAACTCAGTTTTATTTATATAGCGCCAAATCACAACAACAGTCTTCAAGAAGCTTTATATTGCAAGGTAAAGACCGTATAATAATACCAAAAACAGACAAAAACCCAACAATCTTAAGACAACCATAAGAACCATAAGACAGACATTTAGTATAATAGATTTATTTTATGCAATGTCAGAAACTGTATGTTTCAAATGTGAATATTACAAAGGATAACTGCAATTTAAAAAGCTTATACAAGGATCTGGTGCTTTTCCTCATTCATCTTTGCACTTTGTTGTTTTCTTACTGTTTCTATCACTTATCCCTTTCTAGCACTTAGCCCATCTTGTGAAAATCCTTTTGAGACTGTGAGGGCAATTAAAAACGTAGAAGTGCACTTTAGATGTTTTTATGCCAAAGAATCTGAGGCTGCCAGTGGTGAGATTTACAGGATTTGTATAGTAATGAGATTCCATTTCCTGTGGACACCGTAAACACCTTAAAGCAAAAGAAGTATCAGATATCATGATGCATCAGAAGAAGCAGCAGTGACAGTCACATGTTGAGATGGTGTCTGTCAGACTCTTGGTCTTACAGCAACTTTAATCACCATGAAAATGTCAGATATCTGCAGACCCCACAGTATCAAGAAAATCCATCTTTTGTCTCAGCTAAAGAAAGGTTACCAAAAATATTGATGGTTAAAAACTGTATTCAAAGACAAGTTGACCTTTAGAGCTTTCTTTTTTAAGCAAGCTCATCCAAAGCTAGCCCAGTAGAGCCCAATAATGAAAAAGGAAGACAGAGAAACCAAAAGACGAAAGAACCCGAGTTACACATACACTTCATTCTTGTTTTCATGTTTTCCTCCACACAGGGATGGAGGTCTGCCTTGGCGCGACCCCACTGGGGCACATTCTGTATGGTGAACTGGAACATTCACGCTTTAGTTTCAGGCAGACAAAACAGAACTCCATTTTGCAGCGAGGACATTTGATATTTTTGCAGTGTTTTCTGTTATGCTCCACCCTCAGGCCACATGTAGGACAGAGTCTGATGGCGGGGCAGCTGGTGACGCCCTTTACTTCAGGCAGATCAATGGTTTTACATGTCTGCAGAAGTTGCAGGTCCTTGTTCTCACAGCCGTCGTTGTCGCAGCGGTCAGATCGAGGGCCTGAACCCTTCCATGGTTTCAGACACTGCCAGCAGAAGTAGAATTTCTTCTTTTGAACAGCTGTGCATACGACACACTTTACACACAGGTTAGACAGATCCATCCTCTCCACACTTGTTTTGCACTGTGGACACTGATGTGAAAATAAATGAAGGGACATTTTTAAGAGAAACCCAACCACAATATTAAAAAAATATTGAGTCCACTGGATTTCACTGAAATCAAGAAGCTGTAAACATTAAAAAGGAAAAACAAATTAAAACATAAATAACTGGGTCACTTACTTCCTGAACCTCACAGTGGTCTGCAAGAGCCAGACGGGCCATGCTCTCTTCAAAGTGCTGCATTTCCTCCACAGTCAGATCAGCCAGTCTGCGCACCTCCTGGTACGACCACTCTTTATTACACTGCTTGGTTCCCTCCACTAAAGCCGGACATCTGAATTTGTAATTGCCCTTTAAAAAAAATTACAATTTCAACAAAAAAAAGTTAATTTAAATAATTAGAATTTATTGTTTTCAAAACTTCTACTTTTATTTTTAATGCATCTTTATACCGTCATTCTTTTACGTTTTTATATAGTTGTTAAATCTGCAACATGTTTAGCTACACATATAAACAGTAAACCAAAACATTTCTGCAGATTACCTATTGGCACCCAATCATGTGATAACTTAAACAAAATCAGTGTATTTTACAAGTTCAATAATTTTACCTCTTTTTTCTACAAACACATAAAGCTGTTAAAATCAATCTGAAATGATTTTACCAAAAACTCCAAAGACTAAATTTTAGATGGAATTATATAATAACTATAATAACAGACCGGTATTTGTATCTGTATTTGTATTTGAGTAAAATTCAAAATAGGTGTAAAAACCCAGTTTTTTGCATTACACTTCTAATTAATGTTAGAGTGTAATGCTTCTTTAATTATATCCATTATAATAATTATGGATGTGCAATATTAGTTGATGGTTTTCCATAAATCCAGCAATGAACATGTAACAAGGAACCTCATTGAAAAGAAAATAACATCCATTGCCTCATTCATGGTTAAAACCAACAACTA